ACCTGCCCTGCCCTACACAAAGCACACCAGGCACCTGCCCTGCCCTACACAAAGCACACCAGGCACCTGCCCTGCCCTACACAAAGCACACCAGGCACCTGCCCTGCCCTACACAAAGCACACCAGGCACCTGCCCTCCCCTACACAAAGCACACCAGGCACCTGCCCTGCCCTACACAAAGCACACCAGGCACCTGCCCTGCCCTACACAAAGCACACCAGGCACCTGCCCTGCCCTACACAAAGCACACCAGGCACCTGCCCTCCCCTACACAAAGCACACCAGGCACCTGCCCTGCCCTACACAAAGCACACCAGGCACCTGCCCTGCCCTACACAAAGCACACCAGGCACCTGCCCTGCCCTACACAAAGCACACCAGGCACCTGCCCTGCCCTACACAAAGCACACCAGGCACCTGCCCTGCCCTACACAAAGCACACCAGGCACCTGCCCTGCCCTACACAAAGCACACCAGGCACCTGCCCTGCCCTACACAAAGCACACCAGGCACCTGCCCTCCCCTATACAAAGCACACCAGGCACCTGCCCTGCCCTACACAAAGCACACCAGGCACCTGCCCTCCCCTACACAAAGCACACCAGGCACCTGCCCTGCCCTACACAAAGCACACCAGGCACCTGCCCTCCCCTACACAAAGCACAGCAGGCACCTGCCCTCCCCTACACAAAGCACACCAGGCACCTGCCCTGCCCTACACAAAGCACACCAGGCACCTGCCCTCCCCTACACAAAGCACAGCAGGCACCTGCCCTCCCCTACACAAAGCACAGCAGGCACCTGCCCTCCCCTACACAAAGCACACCAGGCACCTGCCCTGCCCTACACAAAGCACACCAGGCACCTGCCCTCCCCTACACAAAGCACAGCAGGCACCTGCCCTGCCCTACACAAAGCACACCAGGCACCTGCCCTCCCCTACACAAAGCACAGCAGGCACCTGCCCTGCCCTACACAAAGCACACCAGGCACCTGCCCTGCCCTACACAAAGCACACCAGGCACCTGCCCTGCCCTACACAAAGCACACCAGGCACCTGCCCTCCCCTACACAAAGCACACCAGGCACCTGCCCTGCCCTACACAAAGCACACCAGGCACCTGCCCTCCCCTACACAAAGCACACCAGGCACCTGCCCTGCCCTACACAAAGCACACCAGGCACCTGCCCTCCCCTTCACAAAGCACAGCAGGCACCTGCCCTGCCCTACACAAAGCACACCAGGCACCTGCCCTCCCCTACACAAAGCACAGCAGGCACCTGCCCTGCCCTACACAAAGCACACCAGGCACCTGCCCTGCCCTACACAAAGCACACCAGGCACCTGCCCTGCCCTACACAAAGCACACCAGGCACCTGCCCTCCCCTACACAAAGCACACCAGGCACCTGCCCTGCCCTACACAAAGCACACCAGGCACCTGCCCTCCCCTACACAAAGCACACCAGGCACCTGCCCTGCCCTACACAAAGCACACCAGGCACCTGCCCTGCCCTACACAAAGCACACCAGGCACCTGCCCTGCCCTACACAAAGCACACCAGGCACCTGCCCTGCCCTACACAAAGCACACCAGGCACCTGCCCTCCCCTACACAAAGCACACCAGGCACCTGCCCTGCCCTACACAAAGCACACCAGGCACCTGCCCTGCCCTACACAAAGCACACCAGGCACCTGCCCTGCCCTACACAAAGCACACCAGGCACCTGCCCTGCCCTACACAAAGCACACCAGGCACCTGCCCTCCCCTACACAAAGCACACCAGGCACCTGCCCTGCCCTACACAAAGCACACCAGGCACCTGCCCTGCCCTACACAAAGCACACCAGGCACCTGCCCTGCCCTACACAAAGCACACCAGGCACCTGCCCTGCCCTACACAAAGCACACCAGGCACCTGCCCTGCCCTACACAAAGCACACCAGGCACCTGCCCTGCCCTACACAAAGCACACCAGGCACCTGCCCTGCCCTACACAAAGCACACCAGGCACCTGCCCTGCCCTACACAAAGCACACCAGGCACCTGCCCTGCCCTACACAAAGCACACCAGGCACCTGCCCTGCCCTACACAAAGCACACCAGGCACCTGCCCTGCCCTACACAAAGCACACCAGGCACCTGCCCTGCCCTACACAAAGCACACCAGGCACCTGCCCTGCCCTACACAAAGCACACCAGGCACCTGCCCTGCCCTACACAAAGCACACCAGGCACCTGCCCTGCCCTACACAAAGCACACCAGGCACCTGCCCTGCCCTACACAAAGCACACCAGGCACCTGCCCTGCCCTACACAAAGCACACCAGGCACCTGCCCTGCCCTACACAAAGCACACCAGGCACCTGCCCTGCCCTACACAAAGCACACCAGGCACCTGCCCTGCCCTACACAAAGCACACCAGGCACCTGCCCTCCCCTACACAAAGCACACCAGGCACCTGCCCTGCCCTACACAAAGCACACCAGGCACCTGCCCTCCCCTACACAAAGCACACCAGGCACCTGCCCTGCCCTACACAAAGCACACCAGGCACCTGCCCTCCCCTACACAAAGCACAGCAGGCACCTGCCCTGCCCTACACAAAGCACACCAGGCACCTGCCCTCCCCTACACAAAGCACAGCAGGCACCTGCCCTGCCCTACACAAAGCACACCAGGCACCTGCCCTGCCCTACACAAAGCACACCAGGCACCTGCCCTGCCCTACACAAAGCACACCAGGCACCTGCCCTCCCCTACACAAAGCACACCAGGCACCTGCCCTGCCCTACACAAAGCACACCAGGCACCTGCCCTCCCCTACACAAAGCACACCAGGCACCTGCCCTGCCCTACACAAAGCACACCAGGCACCTGCCCTGCCCTACACAAAGCACACCAGGCACCTGCCCTGCCCTACACAAAGCACACCAGGCACCTGCCCTGCCCTACACAAAGCACACCAGGCACCTGCCCTCCCCTACACAAAGCACACCAGGCACCTGCCCTGCCCTACACAAAGCACACCAGGCACCTGCCCTGCCCTACACAAAGCACACCAGGCACCTGCCCTGCCCTACACAAAGCACACCAGGCACCTGCCCTGCCCTACACAAAGCACACCAGGCACCTGCCCTCCCCTACACAAAGCACACCAGGCACCTGCCCTGCCCTACACAAAGCACACCAGGCACCTGCCCTGCCCTACACAAAGCACACCAGGCACCTGCCCTGCCCTACACAAAGCACACCAGGCACCTGCCCTGCCCTACACAAAGCACACCAGGCACCTGCCCTGCCCTACACAAAGCACACCAGGCACCTGCCCTGCCCTACACAAAGCACACCAGGCACCTGCCCTGCCCTACACAAAGCACACCAGGCACCTGCCCTGCCCTACACAAAGCACACCAGGCACCTGCCCTGCCCTACACAAAGCACACCAGGCACCTGCCCTGCCCTACACAAAGCACACCAGGCACCTGCCCTGCCCTACACAAAGCACACCAGGCACCTGCCCTGCCCTACACAAAGCACACCAGGCACCTGCCCTGCCCTACACAAAGCACACCAGGCACCTGCCCTGCCCTACACAAAGCACACCAGGCACCTGCCCTGCCCTACACAAAGCACACCAGGCACCTGCCCTGCCCTACACAAAGCACACCAGGCACCTGCCCTGCCCTACACAAAGCACACCAGGCACCTGCCCTGCCCTACACAAAGCACACCAGGCACCTGCCCTGCCCTACACAAAGCACACCAGGCACCTGCCCTGCCCTACACAAAGCACACCAGGCACCTGCCCTGCCCTACACAAAGCACACCAGGCACCTGCCCTGCCCTACACAAAGCACACCAGGCACCTGCCCTGCCCTACACAAAGCACACCAGGCACCTGCCCTGCCCTACACAAAGCACACCAGGCACCTGCCCTCCCCTACACAAAGCACACCAGGCACCTGCCCTGCCCTACACAAAGCACACCAGGCACCTGCCCTGCCCTACACAAAGCACACCAGGCACCTGCCCTGCCCTACACAAAGCACACCAGGCACCTGCCCTGCCCTACACAAAGCACACCAGGCACCTGCCCTGCCCTACACAAAGCACACCAGGCACCTGCCCTGCCCTACACAAAGCACACCAGGCACCTGCCCTGCCCTACACAAAGCACACCAGGCACCTGCCCTGCCCTACACAAAGCACACCAGGCACCTGCCCTCCCCTACACAAAGCACACCAGGCACCTGCCCTGCCCTACACAAAGCACACCAGGCACCTGCCCTCCCCTACACAAAGCACACCAGGCACCTGCCCTCCCCTACACAAAGCACACCAGGCACCTGCCCTGCCCTACACAAAGCACACCAGGCACCTGCCCTGCCCTACACAAAGCACACCAGGCACCTGCCCTGCCCTACACAAAGCACACCAGGCACCTGCCCTGCCCTACACAAAGCACACCAGGCACCTGCCCTACACAAAGCACACCAGGCACCTGCCCTGCCCTACACAAAGCACACCAGGCACCTGCCCTGCCCTACACAAAGCACACCAGGCACCTGCCCTGCCCTACACAAAGCACACCAGGCACCTGCCCTGCCCTACACAAAGCACACCAGGCACCTGCCCTGCCCTACACAAAGCACACCAGGCACCTGCCCTGCCCTACACAAAGCACACCAGGCACCTGCCCTGCCCTACACAAAGCACACCAGGCACCTGCCCTCCCCTACACAAAGCACACCAGGCATATTCGAAAAGACGTAACACATAACATACAAACACGGAATTATGTAACTTTTTTCAAGCAAACAATGAACAATATTCGGACATCAAAGTATCAATGAAATTACCCACAACACTATAAATGGCAAAACTAATTATGCTTGACTGAAACAGGCAGTTCTCATTGACAATTTTTCGTTCAAAGCCAATTGACTGGCTACAAAGCTTCAAATTCGACTCCAAATCTCAACATGTGCTCACCGTTAATCTGTAGAGAAACTGTCTTCTGTGTAGAACCAACAGATGTTGTGACATTGACCGTGTAGTCACCCACTGCTTCAGAAACTACACTGATATCCACTGTCAGATTAGACCAGAAACACCCGTTACTATTATGCAATGAGGTGATCACCTTTCCATTGCCTATACCTCCACTGGACTTAGTACTCCAAACTACCGCATTGGCTGATGACGGTGCTGGCTTGATGGTAGAGTTGATGCACACGGACAGAACTGCTGACTTTGTGCCATCATCCTCACTCACAACCAGTCCACTGCTTCCAATAGGAGATGTCAGAACAGGGCCGGCTGGATAACAACAACAGTACACAGGAATGCAAAGCACGGTCAGACATACCTCAACCACAAACAATACGTGTTTATAAGCATGGCCGTGTCCTGAGGCAACCAATTCCGCATTGCACAAGTCAGTCATTACACGTGTACATTTCTGCCCAAGTTCACAGCAGGTATTGGCTTTGACCCCGCCCCCTTGTCTGAATGAGGCGAGGTGAAGGGGGGGGGGGGGATGAAAAACTAAAATTCAATTGCCCCCTCCCCTCATTCTCTCTCTCTCTCTCTCCTCTCTCATAAGCTGGAACATTGTGATCCTGCCGTTGAAAATCCTATATCAACATGTCGCCAGCAGTTTTTGCCGGCAGAGTACGGGACATGACCGGGATAATCGATGGGGCCAGGCATCATGCGTCACGTAATGATGGCCGTACCGACTGACCATGGAACAAGTTACTTCGAGCATGTTAAAGATCAAATCTTCTTCTCCTGCCGCCTGGATTTTTGTTTAGCGTTTTTCTGCTGTCGACGCATCCTGTCGCGAAGTCTCCAAACGACGAGACCTTTGCTCCGTTGTTTCTTGTTGTCGTCGTAGCCGTAACCAGGGTGGGGAAATTCGAGGGCTGCTTGAGCGACCCTTCAATGTGGCAAACTTTGCTGTATTGTCTTCTATTAATATTACGAGTCACATAATCTGCCAGAGACGGCGTCTCATCCAGGCCCGACTTATCTTTGCCCTCGAACATAAGTCCCAATCATTATAGGTATCCACTGATCGGTCTGCTCGACAAACTCCCGGACGCCTGATCGAGTCGGGACATAAAGCTCTCGATGGAAGCAAGGATCTGGCCTACTGATAATTCCAGCCTCAGGAAATGCTCCAACGAAACAGATCTGGGTCTACTGACCGATTTGCAGGCCGATTTCCTACTAACAGTTGACGTGGACCCGATATCGGACGTCGCTATACTCACCTCATTGTCAGCACTGGATCAGCTCCTTCAGAACCCTAAGGAGAACATGAAGACGTCTCAACGCTGAACAAAGACACGCTGAACGAAGACACGGACTGAAAACTACTAGCGCCAAGAAAAAACTGAGGCTACTGGAACTTGTTCATGACATCTAAATGAAACCTTCGTGAAATGCCGCTTCTTTTTCATTTCTCCTATGTTTTTTTCAAGACATACTATTATGGGATCTGAACCCGCACTATCGCCCTGCATGCATTCCCCCGATACACTTCGCATACATGCACATTCTTCCAAGTTGCTTCATGTTATGATCTTGCAGTTGCAAGCTCTATTTGAATAAGGTGGCCAGCTGTCTTTGATGGTATGGTACGGGTGTACCAGATAGCGCCAGGCATGCCCGACGACAGAAATGGACAGATACCGAAATAAAGCGGCGTGGACTGTGGCTAGCGCCAGACTTTACTGAAGTAACATATTTTGCCTAGCTACGTGAATACAAATAACATGCTCACCATGGCATTCTGGTACATTCTTGAAAACAGAGTTTCCATCGGATGATCTTTCACACTTGCTGTGCGGTGAACTGGACACGGACAAGCCTTCTCCACACACTACTTTGTAGTCGGATGAAGTAGGTCCACTGCTAGTACTGGGCCCAATCAAACCTGACGCTTGTGCACGACCATGGTGGACTGTTGGTAGTTGACACAATGGAACTAAACACATCACATGCAGAACACAGACAACAGTAAAACTTCAAACACACCGTGCATACAACAATCAACATCACTATTTTTCTAAAAAAAAAAAATCGACGGGTTCGCGTACCGGGCAGGTCAAGAACAAGGAGTCGTAGAACTCCCTTGTCAAGAACCACCTTTCCACTTCCGTGGGACCCCACCACCCCATGATCAGTAGTCAGATTTTATTATTAATTTTTTTTACGAGAAACCACGAACCTCGAGAACAGAATACTGCATGATAGAGGTGGTTGCAGACGCAACTAGACACCGTTAGCAAACAACGGTAACGCTATTTTTTACGGTACTCGTACCTTGATCACCCAAATAGCCTTGAAGCTGCAGTGTATAAACGTTATGGGGGCTGATTTATCGTTGTGACCAACGGTACGTGTTTTGGCCAAATATTGCATAGTCCGTACGCATTTCACCTTGTATCGCGTATATGGTGACCAAAATGGTTGTACCGCGCGAAATCAAAGCTATTCTCGTGGCAACAGCGTACTAAATATAGCGTGCATCTTGCTAAAGGTCGAACCCAAATCACGGTATTTTCCCCCTTACGATAATACCGTTACAACATAACGTTTTTGCTAAGGGTGTCTACTGTGGTGGTGAAACTGGAGCATCTCCGCCGACCTGAGGTCTCGGCTTCAGCGACACTTCAGTGCACCAAAACCTGGGGAGGAGTAGGCACAGGGGGGAGGGGAGGGATGCGCCTCCTAAACGGTGGGGGAGGATAGATCAGATCCACCATCTATTTCTCTAAATTGTCTTAAAGTAATTGTTATCTTCGTTGTCTAGTCCATTCAGAAAAGGATGAGCGCTGGCTCTCGAGAGCTCCCTCATTGGCAATTTTGTGGGGCACTGTGCAGTGCCGCGATATTTGAAACTTGAAAAAGGGTCTAAAAGGTACCTCAAGTTGAGGCTCAACTGGGGTTCGAACCGCAAATGTACTGTTATGCAAGTGGAGTGAACGGCCTGGATTTTCATGGTTTTTACCCAATTCAGTGCTTCGGGGGGCAAAACCTGGCCGAAATCCTATTCTTGTTATGGCTTGCACTTTGGAGAAATAGACTTCACATACAGAGTATCCGAGATATTCAGGCAGAAGTTTATCGTTCTTGTCTGGGTCTCGGAATGGGCACGCAAGTTCTGATCTGTAAGCCCTCCTAGTTCCTTCTTCAGCTGGCCCAACTAGGTTGCACTCCACCATGGGTCTGCGCCAACAGCCAGTTTGGACCAGGTTTGGCAAGGGTTGCCTCGCGTTCCAGGGCGCTCAGCTGTGGAACACTTTACCCAGCGATATACGTGCCATCTCGACGCTCCGCCAGTTCCGCGCCAGAATGATCCCGCACACCCTTAGTACCTAGAGTACCAAACGTCCTGTTTGATGATGAGCTGGCTTAGTTTCTCTCCACCTCTATCCTTATTACATCCCTCCCCAATTTCATTAATTACTGCTTTCTATCTGCATTCGCCACCTTTTCATTGGGCAGATCTGCCCGTTTGGTTTGCGAATTAAAATAAACACAACAACAACTTCAAAACCATGATTGGAAGAGCATTCCATGGGGGATTGCAAAATATTGTGACAAAAACTAAAAACATTGACACATTTATGGCTAAAAGCTAGGATATCATCCTTTTCTGAATGGACTGTAGTGTATAGTGATCTCAGGTTGATCTTACACACTTGCCCTCTTCTGCCACGTGCTAGTTCAACCTTTTTTCCTGTCTGCCTTCTCTCTCTCTCTCTCTCCCTCGCTCCCTCCCTCCCCCTCCCCCTCCCCTCCTCCTCCCTCTCCCTCTCTCTCTCTCTCTCTCTCTCTCTCTCTCTCTCTCTCTCTCTCTCTCTCTCTCTCTCTCACACACACACACACACACACACACACACACACACACACACACACACACACACACACACACACACACTCTCTCTCTCCCTGAAGAAAACAAAAGAACGTCATGCATATGTAGACAACGTCGAGGAAGTGCGTTCTGTCTGAGGCAAGTTGTTTCGCTTCCAATGTTGAGAAGTAAAAGCTCACTCCAAAGCTTCAAATTCATCTCCAAATCTTAACATGTGCTCACCGTTAATCAGTAGAGAAACTGTCTTCTGTGTAGAACCAACAGATGTTGTGACATTGACCGTGTAGTCACCCACTGCTTCAGAAACTACACTGATATCCATTGTCAGATTAGACCAGAAACACCCATTGCTATCATTCAGTGAGGTGATCACCTTCCCACTGCCTATACCTCCACTGGCCTTAGTACTCCAAACTACCGCATTGGCTGACGACGGTGCTGGCTTGATGGTAGAGTTGATGCACACGGACAGAACTGCTGACTTTGTGCCATCATCCTCACTCACAACCAGCCCACTGATTCCAATAGGAGATGACAGAACAGGACCAGCTGGATAACAACAACAGTACACAGGAATGCAATGCAAGTTCAGACATGCCTCAACAACAAACAAAGGCAACCAATTCCGCATTGCATCAGTCAGTCATTATATGTGTAACTTTTTGTCCATGTTCACTGCAAATGTTTGATTTGACCCCCGCCCCCCTCCCCTCCCCCCTTCCCTCTCACCCCATTGTCTAAATGGGGAAAGCTCAAGAAGCTAGACTACGTTTTATAACACCTCTCCAGTCCCTCTCTCCCTCTAGTCTTTCTCTCCCCTCCCCCCCCCCCCCCCCATCCCTCCTCCCACTCCCTTCCCCCTCCCTCTCTACTCAATCATAATCCAATCCTAGATATGACCGGGGAAACAGTGGCAAATACACATGTCCATACTGTAGTGTCGCGTATAAAAGCATGACAGGCACAGAAGCATGCCTCGAATAGAAGGCGATTTTCCAAAGCGTGTCATGACACAGAATCACGGTTTGAATAGAAGCACAAGTACTTGTACACTACAGGTGTGAAAATGTATACACTGTACAGTATATACTGTACAGTGTATACTGTACAATGTATACTGTACAGTGTATACTGTACAATGTATACTGTACAGTGTATACTGTACAATGTATACTGTACAATGTACACTGTACAGTGTACACTGTACAGTGTATACTGTACAGTGTATACTGTACAGTGTATACTGTACAATGTATACTGTACAATGTATACTGTACAGTGCAGATTGAAGATGTTGACGTAGAAGCCTGTTTTGAATGGAAGCATAACTTGAATAGAAGCACAGTTTGAACCCTGCTTTACGGCCGTAAGCACCTGCTTATATACGCGACATTACGGTATGTGTACATACACGCGAGCACATCGACTTCTAATAATAATAACATGCTCACCATGGCACTCTGGTACATTCTTGAAAACAGAGTTTCCATCGGATGATCTTTCACACTTGCTGTGCGGTGAACTGGACACGGACAAGCCTTCTCCACACACTACTTTGTAGTCTGATGAAGTAGGTCCACTGCTAGTACTGGGCCCAATCAAACCTGACACTTGTGAGTGACCGTGGTGAATAGATGGTAGTGCACACAGTGGAACTAAAAACATCGCATTCCGAACAAAGATAACAAGAACAAAAATTACAACATACAGTGCACAACAGCATTCCATATTGGTGGGATAACGACCCTCCTCTGGGAATTTGTGTTGTTGCTTCAAAACAGCAAAAGATGACATTATTGCAAATAGCAGCTCGCGGTTTCACACAGGGTCATTTACACCAGCAGTGTGAGCTTATGCATTGAATGTGAAAATGGTAGCGGTAGATGGATGTGGCAGCTGTATGGGCGTGTGTGGACAACAGTGGGTGAGTGCGTATTATTTGAAGGGTGGGAGTGCTACAACGTTTTCTTTCTGCTTACACAGTACAGGGTCACGTTTACGAATATTGACAGCTTCTAGCACCTGCAACTGACTAAAGAAACGTGCACAACAATTGTTCCCGAGATGGGTCATGTACAATGTGTAGTAACCGCGTCAACACAAGTACAACTTTACAAGATCAGAAAGTGCTGATATTACTTCTCCATGAAACTACAATACTATGTACCTACCGGTGATTTGTAGGGGAATTATCTTTGTAGAACTTCCAACAGATGTTGTGACAACGATAGTGTAATCACCCACTGCTTCAGAAACTACACTGATATGCACTGTCAGATTGGACCAGAAACAGCCATTGCTATCATGCAGTGATGTGTGCACAGCAAAGAAAGCATCAGATGACGCAGTGGTCCACACAATAGAGTTAGTTGTTGGTGCTGGTTTGATGGTAGAGTTGATGCACACGGACAGAACTGCTGACTGTGTGCCATCATCCTCACTCACAACCAGTCCACTGCTTCCAATAGGAGATGACAGAACAGGACCAGCTGGATAACAACAACATAAACCAGGAAGACGAAGGTGACGACAACAACAAAAACTTCTTGTTTCCCCGGTTATGTACCGTAAAGTCGTGTATAAAAGCCGCGGCTCCGTTACTTTGTTGGGGAAACTGTGCAGGATTCTATAGGAGACAGGCTACTATACAAGAAAGGTTTTCTATGTACGTCGCAAACTATATATATACAGGCTGTACTGACAGTGCATCTCGAAAAATCAGGCTTGTATTCAAAACAGGCTTTTATCTAAATGAGACAGGCTGTAATACAAGATACTATGGTAGTTGGTCCGACTTATTACTTGGTCCGCCAAGTTAAAATTGGCGCTTATCTTCTCACTTGGTTTTTTGGTGTTCTGCCTGTGCCACACGGCATGGAACCACCGATTCACCATCCGAACATAACCATTGACCATTGCATCCCACGACATGGCAGCACAAACCATCACAGAAGTTGCGATCGGTTCGTTTGAGTCTTTTTGACGGAGCTGCCGCCGACGAACACTTCCGTCAGCGCAAGAAAACACTGCAACCTCCGCTCGAGTCCGTAAAATTGGTCAGGATGTTAGCATTTCAGAGCGATGGAGAGTTCAGTTTCTGTCTACTTCCAGCTGTCTGATGGCAAGGATTGCTTACCCCGGGGAGGTATAGGAAAGCTGAAAAAGCGCTTCGCGAGCTTGAATTTCAGTGCTTGCACAGTACAGTGCCTAGTGAAGGGCTATCACCAGCAAATCGTTGACGAAGAAACTGCAGCTCATGTCGATATCTCCAGTAAGTGAGACCAATCCGGCGGACACACTTTGAAGCTCACAGAGGACAGGGCAAAGGAGCTAATCAAAGAAAACACCAAGTCCTGAGAGAAACACTCGTGCAAAGGACTTTCTGGAAACTAGCCGAAAAGCCTGGTGCATGGGTCTTGTAGGTGCAGTACGCACAGGTGCTACATCAAGCGGAAGCTAACACTGCGCTGCATGTAGATCTAGAAGCACCAGCGGCTCGCATGGGTACGGGTGCTGATCAGCAAGTACGACAAGCGCAAGAGGCGATTTGAAAAAAGGACACTGATATGGCGTTGCCTTTTTGTCTCAAACAAAGACGCATTATTGCGACGAACGGGGATAACACTTAAAGTCAACATGCGGGCAGTCTCACTCAGCTTCTGATGGGAAGGTGACAGGCACGCAGTGCCTTTGAGCGTGATTCGAGATGAGGAGAAGTGCAACAAGCTATGAAATGACCGGTGCAGCAGCTGTCCGGATCGTACGTTTTGAGCTCTTCCTCCAGCGACGATAGTGGCGAGGAGGATGTGTAACTTGCTTGAATTTTCGACTGAGTTGCTTACTGACATGTAAATAATCATGTAGATAGTGCTTTGTGATCGTGGCTTGCTTCAAATATTCGTATTTCTTTCCTGAGACAAGTATGAAGATAAGCGCCAATTTTAACTGGGCGGACCAAGTAAAATGTGCGCTTCACTTCACAACTCAAGCATATGTACAAACGAGCAACTGTACTAAAAAATCAACCAAGAGACGGTAGATAGATAGATAACTACTGTGTCGTTTCTTGGCCTGACGTTCTAGTTTTCATCGCTGCTGGTGTCTCAGGGCGCATCTGCAAGTGTGTCAACCTGCAAAACGTTGACATTTTTTCATCTCCTCCAAGCAACACTGCGCTTTTTTGATTTTTTTCACTCGATAGGCACGATTTACACGATTGACTTCGCCTCCTCCTCGTGTAGTACGACTATCAGAATGGTGGCTGTAGGTGTTTTCGCCTGAAGCTCCCACGACACCTTCAAATGAGGCGAACAAGTAAACCACCACGCATAAAAAAATCACTTCTGACCACCGTGTACCGTGCAGGTACTGAGTCTGAGCTGTGTTGACATGTCATGCAGTCAGACCATGCGTAGGTCTACGCGTGCTCTTCCCTGCCTGTTTCACGAATCCACTGGCCCCGGAGACTGGCGATTTTGTGACGCATCGCGATCGCGGCTCCGTGCGCGGATCCGAGGACTCCGCACCGTATCCGCCGGATAATTCAACCTTTCTGCGCGTCAGTTTTCCAGCCAGGTTGTCGCCTGAAAGTCGACCTCAAGGCCGGTTATTTATTTCGATCAACTTCTCGACGATCTCTTCTGTGATCTTGATTCATCGGCCGCCACATCGTGAACGACTGCGAGAGAGATCAGCAAACTGGACGGAGCGATGCTGGTGCTTTCTGCACGAGTTTCTGGATGACGCGTTTGCTGAAATTCTGCCAAGGAAACAGCGATTGCAGCGATTTCAATCCGCCAGGAGGCACTCGAGAACGATCGCCCAGGAGATTCTGGTACTCTGTGACAATCCCCCATCGCAGCGGGGTGCTGATTTCAGCACCAGGCCTTCCCTGTGTTGCGCGAGAAGCAACAGGAGTCCTCTGACGACAAAATTTGGACGTAAAATGCTCGAGTCGACTAGGATCCCGAGCCGCTGCCTCCTTTGGAGTTGGAGCCATTTCTTCTTCAACATCACAAATTGACAACTGAAGGATAGTGTTAGGTAGCTGGAAAGGTTATTTGAATTTGTTTGGTTGACGTTCGAATCGAAACGCACATTTTAATATGTCGGACCAAGTAGTTATTAAAATGGGTGACCATCATAAGAAAAATGGTCCGTAGGAACTTTTGGACGTAACGTGCATTGTGTGCCAAAGTAATGAGCGCCTACTCAGGTTTTTCATAGCTTAGGCCATGGTAAAAACAAAAAACTAAAGTTGGTTCTCAGGTCCCTAGCTAGTGAATTTCGATACTACTGGGCGAATATTTTTTTAATGAATATCTACTTCGAAGTATTCAAGCCACAGGATTTCATGGTCACACTGGGCACATCTCGAATACCTTCTTTTACTAAGTTTTTAGCACATCAGTATTTTTACCGTGGCCTTCAATATAGAAGTAAGTTCATCAAGTAGATTGTACTCACCATGACAGTCTGGTACATTCTTGTAAACAGCTTTTCCATCGGGTGATCTTTCACACTTGCTGTGCAATACACTGGATACTGTGAGCCCTTCGTCACAAAAGACTCCATAGTCTGATGAAGTGGTGGCACTTAAATCCCCAAGCACACCTATTGTATGTGCTTGACCATGGTGGATTGTTGGTGGTTCACACAATGCAACTACACAAGTCAGATGTTGAACACGCACCCACACGCACACGCACACGCACACACACACACACACACACACACACACACACACACACACACACACACACACACATGCGTGCGCTCACACATATGCATACAAACACACACACACACTATTGGCCAAACATACAGACGGACACACATACAGACACATATATACACACATATGCAACTTATGTGGCGTCATTTCAAAGGGAGATACCAAGTTGTATGCGGAGACAATCTCATATGTCCGGTATCGGTGTGCGTTTTCTTTTCAGCAATCTGCCATCACGTGCGTCTGTGGTGCTGGTACAATGCTTTGCGGCAGCTGGCAATAGAGAAGAGCCGGCTATGAGTGAATGCAATGTACAGGACTGTACTCATCCATATTCCTGGCAATTTTGGGGCTATTTGATTCACAAGTTCGTCTCTCATGAGCTTTGCAAGTCAGTTGGGAATTGGGGTTGCATTCCTAGGATCTTCCGGCTACCATTTAACCACATAACACTCTATAGGCATAAGCTGACTACAGTCAACTTCGCCAATAACGACATTCGGTGGGGCATCAGAAAAGTGTCCTTATTCGCGAAGTGTCCTTATAACCGAAGTCCCATTTGAATGTATGTGAACCCATATTTTGTATAGTATGACATGCATATCAAAATTAAGCTCTTTTCTTGCTCTATGTCAATGTGTACTTTATTTTCATATTGCAGTTGAAAGGAACTAAAAATTCAATATGCAAGGGAAATCAATTGAAAAATATGCCTTTTTGAGCCATCTACAGGGCCAGAGACATGTACATGTATGATGATTACTGTACAATCATGTACAACTACATGTACATCGTATACATAATAGGTGTGCTGGTAAATCCAACCATTTTGAAGCCAACATAAAAAAGGAAGAAAAGCCCCCCCCCCCCTTGGCTGCATTTTCTTGCATGTGTGCCTTTATAATAATAATATCCATCACCCGGCATAGGTTCTGGTACTTCTGCATGACAGGTACATGTACATGTACTTGACTGACAGGTACTTGAAATAGCTGTCAAAAGCCCAGAAAGTCGTTATTCAAGCAGTGAATATGACCTCGGGGCACTAAAAGCATGTCGCTATACGCGAATTGTCGTTATTCAGATAGTCGTTATATCCGAAGTTAAATGTATACAGTTAGATGGGACTTTGCTCTGGGCATGGAAATTCGGTCGTTATTCGCGAATTGTCGTTATATCCGCAGTCGTTATTAGCGAAGTTGACTGTACACCACCACCACCACCATCATCACCGTTGTGCTCTGTGGCAAGCATAATAATTGTGCTCTTTGTCGGTGTTGTGTATTGCAATCCTTTAATTTCAGGGCAAAATGAATTGCTTTTTGTTTGCATGTAAAGGGGGCTTCATGTTCATCATGGGTGGCAGCTCCGGCTGTGGCGGCAGCAGCAGCAGCACCTGAGGCAGCAGTGACTGCAGCAGCACCAGCAATGCAGCAGTGGCGGCAGCAGCAGCAGCAGCAGCAGCAATGCAGCAGTGGCAGTAGCAGCAGCAGTAGCAGCAGCAGCAGCAGCAGCAATGCAGCAGTGGCAGTAGCAGCAGCAGCAGCAGCAATGCAGCAGTGGCAGTAGCAGCAGCAGCAGCAGCAGCAGCAATGCAGCAATGCAGCAGTGGCAGCAGCAGCACCTGGGGCAGCAGTGACAGCAGCAGCAGCAGCACAGATGTTCGTGATCAAACAAAATGTGTTTTCCCGCAATAGCTAATCAATGCACTTGAACTAGCAAGGCCCAATACTTCAGTTAACTGCTGGAGTAGTTGCACTTACTGGTGAAACGAAGAGGAATTGTCAGTTTCGAAGAACCGGCAGTTGTAGTAACGGTGATGGTGTAATTTCCAACAGATGGTTCAATAACATAGAAATGCACAGTCAGATTGGACCAAAAACAGCCGTTATCATCAATCAATGATGTCTGTTTAGTATGTGGTATATCAATGGAACTTCCCTGTTCCTGACTCCATACAATATTGTCTTGTTGCGGTGCTGGTTTGACAGTGGAGTTGATGCACACAGGCAGAACTGCATCCATGCTACCATCATCCTCACTTATCACCAGTCCATGGATTCCAATAGGTGATGAGAGAACAGGGCCAGCTGATAACAACACAAAATAGGAAAAGGTAACTATTTGAGAACGAGGCCAAGTTCAACATTCTCGTTAACACATTGGAATGTTGTAACCACTCGATTTTCAGCTCTCTGTCTATCTCTCTAACTCCCTCTATCCTGTCTTTATCTCTCTTTCCCCTTCTCTTGTCTAATAACTACTCAAAAGTACTTAGGTAAAGAAGAAAAAGAGCTGTCTCCTACAAGCAAAGCGGACGACTTCGCTTTCCTTTTCTTTGTTTGTTTGTTTCTTTAAAAGGTCCATCCATGAAATTCAAACAATGGCTATAATTGGTTGGGGGAGGGGGGGGGGGTAAAGTGCATGGCGGCGGCGGGGTATCTAATTTGCAGAGAGTGCATTTCATAGAAATAAACATGGTTAGGAATCACCAAATCAGGTTTCCTGCACTGTACACAGCCACCCCCGCACCGTCAATATACCTAAAGTACCTATCAAGCAAACGTGTCATGTGCAGGTGAGTAGGAAACACACAACACACTGCATAGACCAGTGTACAAACTAGTGTACCTGCACCTAATGGAAACTCAGCGCAACAAGCAATACATCGTTGGAAAGTTCTTGAGCGCAGCTTTCCAGAGATATAAGATTCGTTACCATAGAATAGAGATGGACCGAGTTGCGAAAAGATGAACAAAAATCACGGCTCCAAGCGATCGCGATTGTTTTTTCATGAGTTTGCATTTTTTTTGGAGCGTGGCCGGGAATTTCCTTTTGGCACCGCGAAATGCATGATGGGCATCAAAGGAAGTGAGTGGATTTTGCAGCGCAGTATGGAAGGTTGAAGTTGAGCAAGATACCGAAAAAGAAGATGAGGTGGAAAATCCATGTACGGAAACCATGTAGGGAAAGGATATAGGGCAAGGAGACTAAATTAAGTGAGATACACTGTACCAGCATGTACTTCATCCGCGTTATTTAAACTGAAAGTCCTGATATTACTACTTCATTTAAACTGTCCTCTCGCACAGCGCAATGTTTGTGATTTGCTTGTCTTAGTCAGACTGTCGGAATCGCTGTTTTCTGTGTTCGAACTTTGGCACAACCCTTAGCTGCAAGTGCACCGAAGCGGGAGGACACAAACTAAAGCCTGGTCCGTCGAAAATGCTCTGTCTCAATTTCTAGCTCATTTCTTCACCCTTCGAAAGGACAAAATAAATTGAAAAATTGCTCTGGGAAGCGGAGGAAGTATTCGACAACATGAAGACAGTTTGGAGCATGACCAACAGTGCACAGTTGTACGTGAAGAAAACTTGCAGAATGTCATCGGCACGAGCAACAACATACAGTTGTAAATGAAGACAACTTTCAGAATGTCATCGGCATGAGCAGTGGTGGACAGTTCAGTAAAAGAACACTCCCAACAATGGATTAGAACAGTTTCCATGAAAGAAAGAGAAGTTCATGTCCATCAGCCAAAAACACACTGATTAGAGCAACTCACCATGACAATCTGGAATATTTCTAAAACTGTTTTTTCCAGCAGACACCTTTTCGCATTTACTATGTTGTGAAGTAGACACGGTCAAACCATCAGCACACACTACTTCATAGTCTGATGAGGTGGTGGTCTGTGTCTGACCATCTCTAGAGCTCTGTCCAATCAAACCTGTTGCACGTGATTGACCATGGTGGATGGTTGGTAGTTCACACAATGGAACTAAACAAACCAGATGTTCAACACAAACACACACAAGCACACACACACACCCACACATGCACACACACACACATACATACACACACACACACACACACACACACACACACACACACACACACACACACACACACACACACACACACATGCACACACACACACACACACACACACACACACACACACACATGCGCGCACACACACACAAACACACACACACGCCCACACACACACACACACACACAAACACAGCACAATTTCGCAAAATAAGTTCAACCTTGGGGGCGGCGGGGGATGGTGTCCATTACAAAAATTCAAAGAGTACAAGCTGCATCCTTGGAAGTTTCTTCAGACAACTCCGAGAGTTTGCACAGGACAAGAAAAACAATGACTTAAAAATGCACCTAAGGGCATTCTAAACCGAAGAATTCACCCATCCAACATAGGCTCATGGTACACTGACCAGCCAAATGGGAAGAATCTACATACAGATAAGGGGTTTTCACACGCAACATGCTCACATAAATATGGATCTATTTGAAAATGGTTGCTGATGGGTGGAAGGCAGGGGGACTGTGTTATACGGAAATTTCTCGCCAAAAGATTTCTTTTCGAGGGAAGGATATAGTTTATGTGTTAAACAAGTCTCAGAGGTTCGATTGAAAGACTGAGAGAAAATGTCCCAGCCAGAGCTTATCAAGGGCCTGGGTAGCTATGGAAATAAATGTGCTAAAGCGCAAGTCCAGCTACCCAGGCCAACGGAAGAAAAGGTTAGGAAAGGGAACAAGGGCGAGTACGAGGGTAAAGGTGAATACGAGTCTGTGAAGGTGAGTGCGCGCCTGTAAAGGTGAGTACGAGCCTGTAAAGTATATAATAACACATGGTACGGAGGGTATTATGGCTGATTTATGCCCTAGTGCGTAGCCCGAGGTCGTGCACCGTAGCCCAAGGGCCGCAGGCCCGCGGGCTACGGTGCACGACCGAGGGCTACGCACTACCTACCGGTGATTTGTAGGGGAATTATCTTTGTAGAACTTCCAACAGATGTTGTGACAACGATAGTGTAATCACCCACTGCTTCAGAAACTACACTGATATCCACTGTCAGATTAGACCAGAAACACCCATTGCTATCATTCAGTGAGGTGATCACCTTCCCACTGCCTATACCTCCACTGGCCTCTGTCCTCCAAACTACCGCATTGGCGGACGACGGTGCTGGCTTGATGGTAGAGTTGATGCACACGGACAGAACTGCTGACTTTGTGCCATCATCCTCACTCACAACCAGTCCACTGCTTCCAATAGGAGATGACAAAACAGGACCAGCTGGAGAACAACAGAAACAACGATGATGATGACAACAACAACAGCAACACTATCAGAAATGCAGACATCAGACCTCTTGTAGTCTCCTCAGTACCGTATTTTACCGACGATAAGCCGCACGTTGAACAATCCAAATTCACTTGCAGAATATTATCGGCATGAGCAACAATGCGCAGTTCTACATGAAGACAACCTGCAGGATGTCACCGGCATGAGCAGTGGTGGACAGTTCAGTAAAAGACACAATCTCAACAATGGGGAAGAACATGCATGTAGTTTCCATGAAAGAAAGAGAAGTGAATGTCCATCAGACAAACACACTGATTAAAGCAACTCACCATGACAATCTGGAATATTTCTAAAACTGTTTATTCCAGCAGACACCTTTTCGCATTTACTATGTTTTGAAGTAGACACGGTCAAACCATCAGCACACACTACTTCATAGTCTGATGAGGTGGTGGTCTGTGTCTGACCATCTCTAGAGCTCTGTCCAATCAAACCTGTTGCACGTGATTGACCATGGTGGATGGTTGGTAGTTCACACAATGGAACTAAACAAATCAGATGTTCAACACAAACACCCACACCCACACCCACACACACACACACACACAAACACACAAATACACAAACACACACGCACACACACACACACACACACACACACACACACACACACACACAACATGGTTGGTTGGATTGGTTGTGTTTATTTGAATTCGCAAACCGACGGACTGAACATGTCCAATGACAAGGAAGCGAATGAAGTCCAAGTAACCCAGGTATGGGAAACTCGGCAGAAGACACAGATGAATGGAAATATGGGAACAGAAGGCTCTCAGCAAACACATGAGCGCGCAACCACACAAACACACACGTGGGCGCATACACACACACAAACAAACACACACACACACACACACACAGCACAATATCGCAAAATGCTTTCAACCTTGGGGGCGGCGGAGGAGGGGGGGGGGGGTGGTGTCCATTACAAAAATTCAAAGAGTACAAGCTGCATCCTTGGAAGTTTCTTCAGACAACTCCGAGGGTTTGCACAGAACAAGAAAAACAATGACTTAAAAATGCACCTAAGGGCATTCTAAACCGAAGAATTCACCCATCCAACATAGGCTCATGGCACACTGACCAGCCAAATGGGAAGAATCTACATACAGGTAAGAGGTTTTCACACACAACATGCTCACATAAATATGGATCTATTTGATAATGGTTCCTGATGGTTGGAAGGCAGGGGGACTGTGTCATACGGAAAATTCTCGCCAAAAGATTTCTTTTCGAGGGAAGGGTATAGTTTATGTGTTAAACAAGGGAACTAGAGCATTGCAACAGAGAAAAGGAATAGAGCTAAAAAAACACTCTGCCCAGCCACATACTGCACATATGCTTTATGAATATCACCAAACAAAACATCACTGCCAGAAACAGAGTACTGGACATGAAATATAGATGTATGACCAACACTTCTCACTCCAGTGGAGAATCAGGTGTACAGTTTACAGACATTCTCTGGAGTATTTGTGCAGATGAGGGGAGAGAGGGGGGGGGGGCGGTATCTTAGGGAAACAATTATTCCTGAGATGGGTCTTGTACAATGTGCAGTAACCGCACCAACACAGGTACAACTTTACAAGATCAGAAAGTGCTGATATTACTTCTCCATGAAACTACAATACTATGTACCTACCGGTGATTTGTAGGGGAATTATCTTTGTAGAACTTCCAACAGATGTTGTGACAACGATAGTGTAATCACCCACTGCTTCAGAAACTACACTGATATCCACTGTCAGATTAGACCAGAAACACCCATTGCTATCATTCAGTGAGGTGATCACCTTCCCACTGCCTATACCTCCACTGGCCTCTGTCCTCCAAACTACCGCATTGGCGGACGACGGTGCTGGCTTGATGGTAGAGTTGATGCACACGGACAGAACTGCTGACTTTGTGCCATCATCCTCACTCACAACCAGTCCACTGCTTCCAATAGGAGATGACAAAACAGGACCAGCTGGAGAACAACAGAAACAACGATGATGATGACAACAACAACAGCAACACTATCAGAAATGCAGACATCAGACCTCTTGTAGTCTCCTCAGTACCGTATTTTACCGACGATAAGCCGCACGTTGAACAATCCAAATTCACTTGCAGAATATTATCGGCATGAACAACGATGCGCAGTTCTACATGAAGACAACCTGCAGGATGTCACCGGCATGAGCAGTGGTGGACAGTTCAGTAAAAGACACAATCTCAACAATGGGGAAGAACATGCATGCAGTTTCCATGAAAGAAAGAGAAGTGAATGTCCATCAGACAAACACACTGATTAAAGCAACTCACCATGACAATCTGGAATATTTCTAAAACTGTTTATTCCAGCAGACACCTTTTCGCATTTACTATGTTTTGAAGTAGACACAGTCAAACCATCAGCACACACTACTTCATAGTCTGATGAGGTGGTGGTCTGTGTCTGACCATCTCTAGAGCTCTGTCCAATCAAACCTGTTGCACGTGATTGACCATGGTGGATGGTTGGTAGTTCACACAATGGAACTAAACAAATCAGATGTTCAACACAAACACACACACCCACACCCACACATACACACACACACACACACAAACACACAAACACACACACACACACACGCACACACACACACACAAACACACAGAAACATGGTTGGTTGGATTGGTTGTGTTTATTTGAATTCGCAAACCGACGGACTGAACATGTCCAATGACAAGGAAGCGAATGAAGTCCAAGTAACCCAGGTATAGGAAACTCGGCAGAAGACACAGATGAATGAAAATATGGGAACAGAAGGCTCTCAGCAAACACATGCGCGCGCAACCACACAAACACACACGTGGGCGCATACACACGCACAAACAAACACACACACACACACACAGCACAATATCGCAAAATAATTTCAACCTTGGGGGCGGCGGAGGAGGGGGGGGGGGGGGGGTGGTGTCCATTGCAAAAATTCAAAGAGTACAAGCTGCATCCTTGGAAGTTTCTTCAGACAACTCCGAGGGTTTGCACAGAACAAGAAAAACAATGACTTAAAAATGCACCTAAGGGCATTCTAAACCGAAGAATTCACCCATCCAACATAGGCTCATGGCACACTGACCAGCCAAATGGGAAGAATCTACATACAGGTAAGAGGTTTTCACACACAACATGCTCACATAAATATGGATCTATTTGATAATGGTTCCTGATGGGTGGAAGGCAGGGACACTGTGTCATACGGAAAATTCTCGCCAAAAGATTTCTTTTCGAGGGAAGGGTATAGTTTATGTGTTAAACAAGGGAACTAGAGCATTGCAACAGAGAAAAGGAATAGAGCTAAAAAAACACTCTGCCCAGCCACATACTGCACATATGCTTTATGAATATCACCAAACAAAACAACACTGCCAGAAACAAAGTACTGGACATGAAATATAGATGGATGACCAACACTTCTCACTCCAGTGGAGAATCAGGTGTACAGTTTACAGACATTCTCTGGAGTATTTGTGCAGATGAGGGGAGAGAGGGGGGGGGGGGGCGGTATCTTAGGGAAACAATTATTCCTGAGATGGGTCTTGTAAAATTTGCAGTAACCGCACCAACACAGGTACAACTTTACAAGATCAGAAAGTGCTGATATTACTTCTCCATGAAACTACAATACTATGTACCTACCGGTGATTTGTAGGGGAATTATCTTTGTAGAACTTCCAACAGATGTTGTGACAACGATAGTGTAATCACCCACTGCTTCAGAAACTACACTGATATCCACTGTCAGATTAGACCAGAAACACCCATTGCTATCATTCAGTGAGGTGATCACCTTCCCACTGCCTATACCTCCACTGGCCTCTGTCCTCCAAACTACCGCATTGGCTGACGACGGTGCTGGCTTGATGGTAGAGTTGATGCACACGGACAGAACTGCTGACTTTGTGCCATCATCCTCACTCACAACCAGTCCACTGCTTCCAATAGGAGATGACAAAACAGGACCAGCTGGAGAACGACAGAAACAACGATGATGATGACAACAACAACAGCAACACTATCAGAAATGCAGACATCAGACCTCTTGTAGTCTCCTCAGTACCGTATTTTACCGACGATAAGCCGCACGTTGAACACTCCAAATTCACTTGCAGAATATTATCGGCATGAACAACAATGCGCAGTTCTGCATGAAGACAACCTGCAGGATGTCACCGGCATGAGCAGTGGTGGACAGTTCAGTAAAAGACACAATCTCAACAATGGGGAAGAACATGCATGTGGTTTCCATGAAAGAAAGAGAAGTGAATGTCCATCAGCCCAACACACTGATTAAAGCAACTCACCATGACAATCTGGAATATTTCTAAAACTGTTTATTCCAGCAGACACCTTTTCGCATTTACTATGTTTTGAAGTAGACACGGTCAAACCATCAGCACACACTACTTCATAGTCTGATGAGGTGGTGGTCTGTGTCTGACCATCTCTAGAGCTCTGTCCAATCAAACCTGTTGCACGTGATTGACCATGGTGGATGGTTGGTAGTTCACACAATGGAACTAAACAAATCAGATGTTCAACACAAACACACACACCCACACCCACACACACACACACACACACACACACACAAACACACAAACACGCACACACACACACACACGCACACACACACACACACACACACAAACATGGTTGGTTGGATTGGTTGTGTTTATTTGAATTCGCAAACCGACGGACTGAACATGTCCAATGACAAGGAAGCGAATGAAGTCCAAGTAACCCAGGTATGGGAAACTCGGCAGAAGACACAGATGAATGGAAATATGGGAACAGAAGGCTCTCAGCAAACACATGCGCGCGCAACCACACAAACACACACGTGGGCGCATACACACACACAAACAAACACACACACACACACACACACACACACAGCACAATATCGCAAAATAATTTCAACCTTGGGGGCGGCGGAGGAGGGGGGGGGGGGGGTGGTGTCCATTACAAAAATTCAAAGAGTACAAGCTGCATCCTTGGAAGTTTCTTCAGACAACTCCGAGGGTTTGCACAGAACAAGAAAAACAATGACTTAAAAATGCACCTAAGGGCATTCTAAACCGAAGAATTCACCCATCCAACATAGGCTCATGGCACACTGACCAGCCAAATGGGAAGAATCTACATACAGGTAAGA